TAATAACATGCAGCATGCCGCCGTTTGCTTCTGGCGGTCAAAAGGAGACCCGCGTTCCGGGCGACTGGGGGGCCGCCGGCGGCGAGGCGCCTTCGGCGCCGTGCCCGGCGATGTCCGCGGGCCGGCCCCGACGCCGTGCGCGCGCAGAACTGCCTTGCGGACCTAGCATTCAGCTAGCTCCACGTGGCCCGGGAACCCGACAATCAATCGCGGCGCGCATGACGACGCCCTCGAAGCCGCCATGGCAGTTGGCGCGGGTAGTTTCTATTACCATCCAATTTTTTGCCATGGGCCAGCGGGACTTTCAGCCCCAAAGTGGTCGCGGCCAGGGGCCCGTTGGAAACGCCGCCTTGCCCCCGCGCGCTGTTCGGGCACTTCGAGGGGCAGATGGGCCGAGAGATGGGCCGGTGGGAAGTGGGGGCGACGCCCCATGCGCGCGCGGCGCTCGCGCGGTGGCCTTGTTTCTCCGATGCCTTGGCGCGCCGTTTCCACCGCGACGTGGGCAACGCAGCTTTCCTGCATATTTTTTATCAAGAGGGCCCCCCGAGGGCGATGCCCTTGATGGATCTGCTCCAAGATGGCCCCAAGCGCGCCCCCCGGGTTTCCGAGGGAGTCCCGAGAGGGCCCCGAGGCGCCCGCGAAGCCTCCAGGAGCCCCCCAAGAGATCCCCAAGTGGCCCCCAAACTCGCCCCGAGGCACCTGAGGCACCCGGGACCGCCAAGCGCCCCCCAAGACGCTCCATGAGGCCCTCAAAAAGCTCCCAATAGACATCCAAGGAGACCCTGGGAGGCCACTCGCCTGGATATCGTTCCTGGATGTGCGGGTGGGCACTCGCAAAGCGTCAAGAATGTAGGGGGATCCTGCAGACGGGCGCGTCAGACGCCGCGGCTTTCAGGGTGCTCGGGATGGGGGTTCCCGCGCGCCCCTGGCTCGCGCGCCGAATCTCGCGGTCGGCGGCCCTCTGGGAGCCTGAGAATAAGAAGAGCCGCGATTTGCCGCCCACGTCGCCCCGCAACTTCCTTTTCGCGCGCAATCTGTCGGGCGTCTCCTCGGGGGCCGCCTCGACGTCGCAACCTCCTCGACGCCCCCCTGCCCCCTTCGGCCCTCCGCCCTGCGTCGGGGCGCGTTGTCCTTGTCGGCTGCGACGCCCCGCCGATTCTCTTTCGCTTCGCTGCGGGACCTGATTGTCGAAGCGCGCTGGGGGCAAAGGACGCGCGCGCGTGCGTCGCCATGTTTGGCCCGTCTCGGATCGCTCCATATCGCGATCGGGAGAAGGGGGTGGCGCAACGATGGTGATGATGTTGATGATGGTGATGATGATGCTGCTCGCGCACTGGGGGATGCTGCCATGTCGCGATGGTTGCGACGGTTTCGACCGCGATGTTGCTGATGGGAACGTGTTTCGCATTGGCTCTGTAATGTTTAATCGCGGCCGTGGCATTATCGGCGCGGCGCGCTGCGTTTGCCCCTCGGCCGCGCTGCCGCGGGGCGGCAACGAACGTGCGCGCGATCCGTGGCGGGGGGCGCCCGCGCGAGCGGTCGCGGGCGCGCCTTCTGGCGGCGCGAGCAACATGCGAGACGAGAGCGCGCCCGCGTCGCATCGGGCCCCCGCGCGCGCGATCGAGATTTTAGCGCTCGGCCCAGCGGGGCCAAGGGATCGCGACTTCAGACCGCGCGATGCGCGAGACATCGCAGAGGCCATCGATCCGTTCAACACCCAAGCGCGCATGTACCCCAGCACCCCAGCTATCAATAATGCCCAAGTCGGCGTTAAGGGGCGTTGGTGCATCAGCAGATAAACGACGGTGGTCAGCACCGCCTCCAGACGCGCGGCTCGAGCGATTCAGAGGCCGCTCTCAAGGGCTTCCAGGCCAGCGCCGCGGCGTCGCTGGGAAGTTTCGCGGCGGCTGTCATCTGCGCGCGCGGCCATTCGCTGACCGCTCATGCTTTGCGGTTTCTGCTCCGAGGGTTTCGCCGGCAGCTTCGGGAAGTCGGGCGCGACGGTTGCTCGCCTTCGGCCCCCGCGGTCCATGGCCGGCGGCTTCGACCTTGAAGCCGAGGGACTCGCTCAGCGAGGGCGCATTTGAAGCCCGACAAAGTCATTGGGGGGCGCGCTTATGCGCCGACCTTCTCGGGCGGGCGGCGGCTCGGGGGCCGCGCGGGCCATCCGGGGCCCCAGGGCAGTCGCGGGCGGCGAGCGCGAATCCGACGCGCCACTTCCACGACACATTCGAGCAGGCGCGGGCAGGGCCGCGCGCGTTCAGGCGCCCATGGCGGAGCGTCGCCGCCGCAGTCTGCGCCGCCGCCCCCGGGCGGGCGCATCCTTGCCGCGACGTCGCGAACGCCCGCCCGCGAACGGGGAGCGCGCGCGGGCCTGCTCGACGGCGCCCCCGCCCTTTCTTCGCTCGACAGGGGGAATGGGCCGCCGTTCCCCCTCAACCGGAGACGGGGCCGCCGCGGGGGCTCGGGCCAGCGCGGCCGCGGACCCCGCGCCCGCGCGCCCGCCCTTCCGCGCCCCCCCCCCCGCCCGCCATCGCCCCCCCCCCCCCCCCCCCCCGCGGGCCTCGTCGCGGCCCCGCCCCCCGCCCCCCCGCCCCCGTTCGCGACTCCTCTCCCGCGCCGACCCCCTGCCCTCCGTCCGCTGCCCCCGCCGTGCTCTCTTCCATCCACTCCCCGCTCCGACGCCCCTCGCCCCGTTGTTCCCGCTCTCGCGTCGCGCCCGCCCGCCCCCGCCCCCCCCCCCCCCCTTCCCACTTCAGCATTGACAAGCCGCCCCCTGCCCCTTCGAATCCCGCCTCGACACCAATCGAACACCATCTGCTGAATCATGGGGGCGTTCGGGCAGTTTCGTGCCCAGTGCGAGGGGGGTCTTAGGGCGCGCTCTGGCCTCCTCTAGGCGCGGGCTGCGCTCGGCCATAGACGTGCGAGAAGACGGGCGTGGCCCAGCATGCAAGTCATTTCGAGAAGGGCTTCGGATTTGGCTCCGCGCCAGGCTCTCCGATCAGACCGCGCGCGCACCTGCTCGCGCCGCACGGCCTAGCCTTGCGCGGCGTCTGCGCGCGCCCGCGCCTCGGCAAGTATCTCTGCATTTCCGAAGGCCGATTTCGTCCACCCTGGGCAATTTGCCCGATTTCGGGCGGGCCCGATTGCCCCCCGCGGAAGGGCGAGAGGTGGCGGGCCAGGGGCCGTTTGGTCATGTTCAGATGAAGCAGCTTCTAGCTCTGATGACGCGCGCGGACCACTTGTCAAGCTCGAAGGTTCAATCCGCCCCAAACTTTACGCTTCGGCGTCGTCTCGCTTTTGCTCACGCGGGCTCCCAGGTGGGGCCGGCAACTACTTCCTCGGGCGCACTCATACATGTCGCAATGGCGTTCCTCACGGGGCCGAGTTGACCGAAACATTGCGGTCGTCGCCGGTGGAGAGGGCGGGGGGGGGGCATGGCCTGTAGTCCAGGGTGCAGGGCGGAGCGGGCTCCATCATCGACGACTTAAGTGCCGGGTGCCGGTGACATTGGAGAAAACACGCCACTACATCGAGGGTTGACGGTGGGCGTGCCCGTGAAATACGGGTCACCGAATCGATCAGTATTCGAACCAGCTGCTTCCCAAAACATATCTGGCCAAAAGTTGGGTTCCTGTTTCGGGCGCCGAGGTCCTCCCACCCCTAGTTCCTGGACTCAGGTGCCCCCTCCTAGTTCCGACGTGGCCCGGGGATGTTTCTCCTCCGTCGGCGCGCCGTTCGACGAGCATGCGTTCGGCATCGGCACCTCCATCTCTCCGTTGGTCGTCTGCGGGGATGCCAGATGCGGAGCCGACTCCAAGGGTACCTGGCTTCGGCGCGTAGGATAGGAGTGTTTGCTGCTTTCAACCCTCGATTCTGATAGTCCTCAAGCTGGTGCAGCTGTATTCTGGCCCCGTCTTCAGGTCACTCAAGCTTTTTCAAAGGGCGAAATCTAGGGTTTACTCTTAGCATTCACGCGCTCTCGTGAACCTGTGGTTTATCTCGCCGGCAATTGCATTGTTGCTGACAGGTGGTATCGTGGGTACGTCAGGGGACCCCAACGATCCAACGCCAGCGTGTGCAAATCTACTCAGAATGAGTTTCAGCCTCGCGATCCGTTGCAAGCGTGTTATCCAAATGCGACCACACATCGAGGCTGAGGATATCTCGGATTCCAAAATCCCAGATCTTCTCGTGGTGGGCAACCACATGGCCGACCATTTCGCAGGAATTGCAACTGACAAGTATGGTGTATCTCCTGATATCCACTCACGTTTGTTGAAGACGGAAATGGACGCCAATCTTGTCAAGCGTCGGTTGTTGCCCTCCACGCTCGAGGCTACGTCGTTGTCCGCCAGACCAGGACTGCTACGGCCAGGCCGCCCCCTCCTCCATCCCATGCCTCTGTCGTTTCTTCACGTCACAACACCGCCTCGAAGGATGAAAAACACATGCGATAGTTGCGGGGGTCGGTCTCCCAAGACAAGCTCACTGAATGGCGCCGATCCTGTGGTTTCGACATCATCTATATAGAATCGACTGGATTCAGCTGCCGAGGGGGAAGAGAGTCCATCCAGGGGGGTCCACCGATCCCATTGCCCCATGATTTCTCAATTTCTCCAGCGCTTGATCTGCAACGCGTGGGAATTCTTCGACAGCGAACAGCTTCCCAAGCCGTTGGCTGACCCCTGCTCGTTGCAGTTGCATGCCGCCCGGACTTTCAAATCTCAGGGCTGGGTAATGACCCAAGGATCGGGTTTCATATAATCGAACTAAACACCCGTAGTTCGCTTCGTTTCGCATCGCACCGCGATGGAGTCCATTCCATCCCATTCCCCCGTCCATCCCGCCCTCCTCCCCCTCCGTGGATGGAATGAGAAGGGGAAGCCCCACACCTCCCCCCCATTCCCCCTTCTCCTCCACCTCTTCCTTCTCCTCCTCCTGCCCCCGCTTTCACCACCATCCTCCCACTGCCCCCTCCGATGCCCCCCTCTGGGCACCGACAAGGACGGCAACCTGCCGGTTTCGGTGAATGTATGCCTGGGCGGGCCCGGCGGCGCAACGAAGGGGGAGGAGGGGGAGGAGGGGGCGGGGGAGCAACGGGGGAGGAGGAGGCGAGTAGGACGAGGGGCGAGAGGAGGAGGAGGAGGAGGACGGGGAGGAGGATACCGCACTGCACTGGCGAGCGCCGCGCAGGTCTCCCGCGCCAGGCGAGCACAGCAAAGGGGGGGTCGGGAGGCCGACCCCCTCAGGCGGCAGCCAAAGTCACCTGCCCCCACCAGGAGGATCGCGGGGCAGGCGCTGGCCCAGAAATGATGCACGTCAGGTTCGTGTCGTGACGACCCCGGCGTTGGTTTCTGACTCCGCGTGGATCGTTCAACCTTGAACGATCGGCGACTGTGGATCGCTCGATCGATTCTGGGCTACTGGCGGCGTTCAACCTTGAACGCCCGCGGCGGGGTCGCCGCCGGTCGACACGACGCGAACCTACCGTAGAGGGGCTGAACGCCCAGAACTTATGCAGAAGGGTGCACGCCGTGGTGGCGGTGGCCACTGCCTGCCTCCCACGCCTCCCAGGTCAGGAGGAGAGGGAACCGGCACGGAGAGAGCCGCACCAGCCGCCTGCCACGAGGCACGAGAAATCAAAGCCGACGGCTCGCGAACGGCACACACCAGGGCCCGCAAAAGGGAAGGCAGCCGGGAGAGCCGACTGGCCCTGAAAGGGCGCGAGAGGCGGGAAGAGTGCGCAACGCCGCCGCGCTGCTGCGACGGCACACGGGGAGGCGCTAAATGCAACTAGTTGCCACGCACATAAATTCAACTAACACAAAGAATGCCACGCAAACGAAGGCAATGAATGCCATGCAGGTAAATGCCAGGCGAATTAACCCACGGAGAAACAAGCAGGCTCGGGGCAACCCTGGCAACGCCGACAGAGCTAGGGAAAAGAAAGACAACAGAGGCGCAGGAATAACCTCGACTGCCCTGCTCCACCAAAGGCCCAGTTCGGAAAAGAGGGGCCGCAAGGAAGTGAAGCGCTACGGGGAGCACACCTGTGTGGGTGCTCTACTCTCGCAGCACTGGTCCCCGACGCCATCCTGTTGAACACAACTTTGGCTCCGCAAGAGCCTGACCCAGTGGGTCTGTGGGTCCCCAATATGGAGGGGACGAGGGGCGGGGATTCGCCTAGAATCCATGTTGTCCTCCCCCGCAAGGTCACAGCTCGCAAGAAACTGGCGACGGTTACGCGTGGCTCGGATGAGGAGGAGGACGAGGACGAGGAGTAGGAGGAAAAAGAGTACGAGGAAGAAGAGGAGGAGGACAAGGGGAGGAGGAGGAGGAGGAGGAGGAGGAGGAGGAGGAGGAGGAGGAGGAGGAGGCGAGAAGGAGGAGGAGGAGGAGGTGGAGGAGGAGGAGAGGGAGGGGGAGAGGGGGCAAAAGGGGGAGGTGGAAAAGAAAGGAGGGGGCTCAAGGACCTGGCGGAACTGGCGACGCTGCAGGAGACGGGGGAGGGAAGAAACGCGAGAGGACGCGAGAGGACGAGGGGGGGAGGAGAAAGGAGGAGGACGAGGGAGGAGAAAGGAGGAGGACGAAGCGCGGGAGGGGAACGGTGCTGGCGGAGAAAGGAGGGGAAACGAGGGGTAATCCGTCCGTTTCCAACTGCCTCTTCTCTCTCTCTCTCTCGTTCATCCTGCCTTCTTCCTAAACCGCCTGTACGCACCTCCCCATTTTGTTTTCCGATTGCGCGTGGCACTATCGTTTTGTGGGGGGGCCACATGTCCGCTATGACTCGACACGCGCCCGCGGAGAGACCAACAACAACGCAATGGGAACGGATGGGTGGGATGGATGGGGTGTCAGATGTGGCGCGAACGCACCTGGCTTGCCGCCTCCCCCTCGCCAGCTTCTCCACTGTTCCCTTCCCCCCGCAACGCGCGCCCGCCGAATGTCCCCTCTCGCCGCCAAAAGCCGCCGCGCGAACGCGCCGCGCGCGCGGTGGAGGCGCCCGAAGCCGCCGCCCGCGGTGCGCATCGTGGCGGCGGGCGTCATCGCCGCGGAGCCTCGCCGCCGCTATTCGCCGCCGCTCGCCGGCGCCGCTGCGGCCGAGCTCGCTGTCGCCGCTCACCGTCGTGGCACCGCTCGCCATCGTCGTCGTCATCGTCGTCGTCGTTGTCGTCGGCGTCGGCGTGGGCGTCGGCGTCGTTGTCGGCGTAGGCGTAGGCGTCGTCGTCGGCGGCGTCGGCGTCGGCGTCGTCGGCGTCGTCGGCGTCGTTGGCGTCGGCGTCGGCGTCGTTGTCGGCGTCGGCTCTGGCGCCGTCGTCATCGTCGTCGTCGTCGTCGGCGGCGTCGGCGACAGCGACGGCGTCGTTGCCGGCGTCGGCGGCATCGGCATCGGCATCGGAATCGGCGTCGGCGTCGGCGTCGGCGACGGCATCGGCGTCGGCATCGAATAATGTGCTGTGACACCATCACTCTTGAAATCGCTCAACCTTATGGGGACGATGGCTGAAGTCCAGCTACAGGGGAAACCTCGTGTATACCGGTGGCCGCATAGCTGACATCGCGCGCGACATCCTGCTTGCCTTGTGATAGGTGGTTGCGAAGTGCTCGACCAATAAGTTCCCCTTTGCCACTCAACAACCGAAATAACATGCCAATTCTCTGATCCTTGGTATAGCTGCCTTGGAAGCCGGCGGTGAGACTGGGCAGAAACCAGGCGAAGAAAATACTGGGCAGGGTGTGGACGCGTAGAGTCTAGCTCTGGGCCCAATACCAGCTTGAACAGAAATGCGAACTAGACAAATCCACGTTTCCCCCTGATCTGCTGAATTGTCCGCAACCAAACTGGTTGGCTGGTACATTGCCACGCGGGGTAGGACAAGGTCCTCATTTGCGCGGTATCCGTTTACCCATGCAAACGAAATCATGTACAAATAAATGTTGCGTGGCCATATGCGTCCATCCGCAACCAACCGATCCGTGAATGGACATGATATGTTTGACCCGCGAAATCTGTCGAAAGATTTTGTTTGTTTGGTTCGTCGTGGTAAGGGGGCGATTCGGAGAACTATCGGTCGGGCGGGAAGGCGGCAACCCCACCCCGGCCTGCTGTGCGGCCGCTTGGCTGGCTCGAGCATGAGTCTGCTTCGGACGCAGCGTGGGCCAACGGGGCACTTGCAACTGTATGCTTGTGTTTTGGGAATCCGAAACTGTCTGGGACAGTCCCGGGGGCTCCGCCTTCCCGGTCATACCCGTCAATGTGGCGAACAGTGTCAACTATATTATCAGAACTATCGGCTGTGCCAATTTGGCCAACAGCGCTCCCAAACATGTCAGAACTGTCCACGGGCCACGGGTTCTGTCGGCAATAACGGTGTCGAAGGTGAATCAAGCACTGGCGGATCCTCGGCAGGGGGTGGCGGCGCCGAACGTTGCTGGGGTAAGCTCGAATGGTATGGCGGTGAAACCAATAATTACGTTGGCATTCGGCGCAAGTAATAATCCCATGATTATTTCAAACATGTTTATGAACATCGGTGCCCAATAAAACATGCGAACATGTCTTGCCAACCTGTTTACCGCCGACGTGACTGAATGGCCATGGTTCAAACAATGGTTGGCGACGCCACATTCTGCGACTTTGATGTGCTCTGCGCGCTCTCGCCGCGTAGTCAACTCTGTTAAACGCTGTTGAAGTTGCTCACGCGTTGGGAGGTGAATCAATACATGAATGAGAAGCAAGCTGAGAGACATGAGAAGAAGCATGAGCTATGAACGATGACCTCGATCGGTGCGATCAGATCGCTCTCGGGGCGCGGGCGGCCGCCTGGACGCTGCGGCTGCCAAACTACCCGCAGCCGAAAGATTCGGGCCCCCCGCTGCTTCCTCCTCCGCCTTCTCTTCTTCCTCCTCCTCACCCTCCTCCATACCACCACCACCACCACCACCACCACCACCACCACCGCCGCCACCACCGCCACCGCCACCGCCACCGCCACCGCCACCGCCACCGCCACCGCCACCGCCACCGCCACCGCCACCGCCACCGCCACCGCCACCGCCACGACCACCACCACCGCCACAACCTCCACCACCACCACCAGCACCCCCGCCACCACCATCGGCGATGGACGGCCCCTTCGGAGCCCCTTGGAAGCCCCTTGGAAACCCCATGGGGGCCCCTTGGGGCCCACCCGGGGGCCGCTCCCGGGCCCCTCGGGGGCGGGAATCCGCGCGGCAGCGCGCCTGAATAGCGGTCGCCGTCGCAGCTCCTGTGGCTCGTTCCGAGCCTTGCGGCCGCCCATGCGCAGACGGCCCCCGGGGCCATCCTGCCGTGACCCCTTCACGGCGATGGCGGTCGCCGCGGCGGCGGCGGCGGCGACGTCCGCGGCACCGACGGCGAGGACGGCGACGGCGAGGCACCCGCAGGTCACGGCGAGGGCGGCGACGGCGCAACGTCGGCGCGCCGTCGGGACGCTCCAGGGGCGCACCGTCAGGGACGTAATTAGAAACCTGGCCGAGCAACCGCGTGGAACACAGTACGGCATAAAGGATACCCCTGGAGCGAAGCCTGATCAGCACCTGATCAGCACGAATCGGCAGAACTCGGCTGGCACATCGACTCGGGAAGAATCGGATCCAGCGAACTCGAAACCATAATCTCGAGTCGGGATATCCTCGTCCTCCTCTGCAACCCCCTGCTCCCTCCCCCTCTTCCCTCCCTCCTCCTCGCCCTCCACATTCTGCCTCCAAACTCCCACCCCCCCGATCCGTCCTCAGACATTCACCCGCTCTCCTCCCCCTCCTCCGCTCTCCTCGTACCCTCGTCCTCGTCCTCGTCCTCCGTTCTCGTCCTGATCCTCGTACTCGCCCTCGCCCTCGTCCTCGTCCTCGTCCTCTTCTTCCTCCTCTTCCTTCTCCTCCTCCTCCTTTTTCCTCCGCCTCGAACTTCCTCTCCTCCTCCTCCTCCTCCTCCTCCTCCTCCTCCTCCTCCTCCTCCTCCGACGACGACGACGACGACGACGACGACTCCCACGACTCCGACGACGACACGCCGCGCCTCCGAAGCGGGAGCTCACGAAGCCCGCCGCGCCCCTGCTGAGGTCCACGTTCTTCTGGATCCACAGCAGGAACTCGTCTGGCCGGGTGCTGCTGGAAATTTGGCGGCGCGCATAGGATAGAAGGGGGAGGGGGGAAAGCGTCCCAGGAGGAGGCTGCTTCTTAGAAGGCGCTGGCCTTACATCTGCAGTGAAGGCCCGCGCCTTCAAAAGAGCTGGGGTGCATCTAAGAAGCCTTCCCCCTCCCCCCTCTCCCTATCCCCTACCCTTTTTAAGGACGAGCACCCGCGAGCGAGCGAGCGCAGAACGCCGACAGGCTCAGCGAGGATCGAAAGATCGGCGATGCCCTCGACGATCGCGCGAGCGAACAGAACGAGCCCTGAGACCCGACGATGCGAACCTGACCATCGCAAACAAAAATCACCACCAAAGCCCTGGACCCCATCTCTCTGAAACCCTTTTCGGGCCAGATCGGCCTGTGATGGCCACGGGGCCCGAAAACGGGCGAAAAGCGCCCGGTGTGAATCAATTGCAGCGCCCAAGCCTGCAGACCGGACGACCGTGACGAGGACCGAACGAGCGGCTCGCCGAGGACAGGCGAGCGACCCGACCAGCTGCAGGCCTCGAGGGCTCGGAGGGGAGCACCGTTTGACCGAACCCTATCTCCACTGGCGTGGCCTGGGCCCCCCCAGATGGTGATGCAGGCTATGCCCTTCGGATTTCGAGTAGCCATCCCCAACTGGGGTGGCGGAAAGGTGGGTTGGGCTTCGAGGAAGAAAGAACTGCACAAACAACATCTTTCGACTGTCGACAATCCGGAACCTTGTTGATGCTGTTGTTCCTTCATCGAGGGACATTGGGGCTGGGATACCATGACCTGGAAGGGATGGGCATATGTTCAACGATTTTTGTTTGGCCCCACGCTGGCTTTTTCTCCGTCGAATCACAATCAGACACGTCGAAGGTTCCGTAGAAACACGGAGCGCTCTACGTGCTCTCGTAGATCCAACGGGACGCAAGTCTGGGGCACGTCAGTTCTGTGGAGTCGATCCCGACGCAGGGGAGCCGCCAGGGGGGGCGGCCTCTGGCAGGCGGGGCCCGAAGGGCGCCAGAGGGGGCCTCTCGCTGGCGCGCCACCCGCGCGCCGCGCCGGGCTCAGACGGCGCCTCGGGAACCTCGAGTCGGGAGAGGCGAAGTCCAAACGGAAGAAGCCCAGACGGAGACCGGACACTCCGTATGGACCTACTCCGTATGGGCCTAGCCTCCTGTCAGGAGGCGCTAGGTCCGGACAGAGTCAGCCCTGGACAGAGATCCATCACTGCGTATGGTTTTTTCTCCCTATGGACTTAGCCTACTGTCAGGAGAGGCTTAGTCCAGACGGGGCGAGTCGAACACTCTGCAGGGGCAGGTCTGGCGCGCCTTAGAGCCCAGCTCTCCGACGATGTGCTGGTTCCCCCACGGTGAGGGTCCTGATCGATTATCTTCTGCCATGGAAGCAACCATGAGTGGCAGATCGAGCAATCCGCTGCCCCTCAGGGGAGCTACTCCATACGCGCGACATAAGGACAAACGAGCACAACGAAACACGTGCACTGCGAGCTGGGGCAAAACGTCGCACCGCGATGCCACGAGCTCGGCTGCAAGCTGAGAGGACGAGGGCCCCGATGGAGACAGACGAGGACCAGATAGGAGATAGATAGGAGGAGGAGGGGGGGAGAGGAGGAGGAGGGGGAGGAGGAGGAGGAGGAGGAGGAGGAGGAGGAGGAGGAGGAGGAGGAGGAGGAGGAGGGGAGGAGGAGGAGGAGGAGGAGGAGGGGGGAGGGGGAGGGGGAGGGGAGGAGGAGGAGGAGGAGGGGGAGGGAGGAGGGGGAGGGGGAGGAGGAGGAGGAGGAGGAGGAGGAGGAGGAGGAGGAGGAGGAGGAAGAAGAACAGTGGGGGGGGGGGACGGAGAGCCCGAGACCGCCCACTCCGGCAGCTGCTCCGCCCGAGAGCACCCCGGGGGCCGCCGGACGCCGGGGGGCCCGTCGGGCGCGCCGCAGAGCCCAGGGCTCCACGATCCGAGGGCGGACCCTGTGCGCCCCGCGCGGCCCCCGCCCCCCCAATGTGCGCTCCCGCCTCCCCCTGCCCTGGGGCCCGATTCGCTGCCGACGGGCCCCGCCGTCCGCCGACCGCCTGCAGGACCCAGCTCGCCGCCGATCGAGAAGAGCAGCAGCGGAGCGCTGAGAGCGATCGTTGCGATCGTGGCCGTTGTGATCGTTGTGGTCGTCGTGATCGTTACCGTCGTTATCACCGTTCTCGTTGTCGCTGTTTGTGCAAATCGTGGGGTTCCCCTCGGTTTCGGCCTCGGGCGCGCGGGCGCGCGCGGCCCCTGGTGCTGCGCTGGCGCCCGCGCGCCGCGCGCGGCGGCGGCGGCGTCCGCGGCGCTGGGCCCGCTCCCCGGTCGGGCTGGAAATCTCCGACGGTCTGATCTTGTTCGGTCCTGGCGTTGTCCTCTGAGCACGGCCTCTGGGGCCGGCCCCCCATCCGCCACACGCTGGCATGGATGAGGGACCCGTGGCTCTCGAGCGTGGCCGCCTGGTCCATGACTCGGGGAAGGTGCCCCCGCAAGCGGGGGCAGTGCCGCCTGATTTGGCGACGGACCGCGTCGATTCTGCACGAGCGCGGGACCCGCCGCTCATCCACGAGCCTTGCGGTCAGGGCACCGCCAGCAGGAACGCCAAGTAAGGAACATCAAGGCTTTCCCGGCCACGGCGGGCCTCGTCCACGGAGAGGCTTCCCGACCTGCATACATCGAAGGAGCGGCCCAACAGAAAGCCGAGCACCTCCCGAGCTCGAAGTGGTCCCGAATTATGTCAGCGCCTTGACTGTGAGTCCATGCTCGCGCTTCCTCGGCCCAAGCCCGGGGGCCCTCAAGAAGGGGTGCGGCGGGCAAACTCCCCCTAAGGACGCGGTCGGGACCCCGAGGGCCGCGGAGCGGGAAAGGAAAAGGGGTCCGGGCAAACTCCCCCCGGAGACGCGGTCGGGACCCCCGGGGCCGCGGAGCGGAAAAGGAGGGGGTCGGCTACACGCAAGGTGCGCGGCTTTTTTGGGGGGCCGCGGGGGGACCAAACCCAAGCGCGCAAGGCGCTACTATCGCATCGCCGCGTCGCGTTCGGCGATCGGGGGGGCCCAAATGGGCCCGCAACAGAGTCGGGCGTTGGCAGAACTGGGTTTAGTGGGACCTGGTTTGGTGATGTGTACTGGGGGACGCCCCCCCGCCCCGTTCCACTAACCGGAACTGCCGTCGCCCAGAAAACACCAGCTACGGCAGACCCGGTTTAGTGATTCTGGCCAATTTGGGGGCTCCAGGGCCCTGCTGCTAGCCGGGTCCCACTCCGACGAGGGGGGCCAGGAGGCGGGGAGCCGGCGCACCGTGGCCCGAGGTAGACGTGCGCGGAGGAGGGGGGCGCGCGGGGTCAGGGCGCGCACTGCAAGGCAGAGGAGTGGGCCATGTCATCGGGGGGGCTTCAGGGCCCCGACCAAGACATCCCCCCCCGCCCTCCGGGGCTCGACCAAAACGGTATGCTTCGTTTTCGTTTTCGTTTTGCCTTCGCTGCGAAACGAAAACAAAACGGAAACGGTCAACGAAATTGCCCAAACACCGTTTCGGTCGAGCCCTGCCCTCCACCTAGTCCTCCCCCACCTCTTTGAGGCACTCGAGCCCCGGGCGAGGAGGCGGTGGGACAGCGCAGATGGAAGCTGGAGGCCCTCTCCTGTCCTCTCGGGGGCTGCTACAGGTGCCCTGCGCCTAAGGTGCCACCAGCGTTTCGCTTCATTTTGGAGCCTCTGTGGCCATTAGGGCTTTGCGAGGGCGCTCTGGAGGTAGGGGGTGCCTCCTTGGAAATCCTGGCGGGCACCTTAGGCCAGAGGCACTTCTAGCGACCGATCCTTGGGGTCGTATCGCTCTGGACCCCATCTCTGAGCCCCCGAGGTCGATCGGTCGGTCGCCGCTGGAGTCGCTGGCTGTCGCCGTCGGTCGCCGACGCCGTCGGCCGCCTGCCAAGACGGGGATCGGCGGGGACGAGGCCCGAGAGCAGATCCGCCAGTTCCTTCGAGCTCTCTGCATCGAGGACTGCGGACTTGCCAGGATGTACATATACATTCGAAGGCCCATCGGCAAACGGCGTGGTGCGAAGGAGGAGGTGGAGGAGGAGGAGGGCTGCTACTGCTACTGCTACTGCTCCCCTTGCGCGGACGCTCCGAAGAGATGGGGAGTTCGCGCCGTAGCGCGTCTTTGGCGCGCACCCAGCCACCGCACCCACTTCTCACATTCTTACAAATCATCATGTATCCGATATTATAAAACTTCTCGTATCCTCACAAAACTACGCCTCCCCAGCGCCGCCCAGTCCTTGCACTTGCCTATCAAATTCAATGCTGTGGGTGATGATGTACGCTCTCGAATTCCAAAACACATTGCCCGGCTGCTGCCCTCCACTTGTACCTGTCTTGGGCTCGGTCTTTCCAGAATATATCAAACTTTCGAAGGTCATCTTCCCATCGGAACCAGTGGTCGCGACGTGGTCTGTTGGGTCTTTTGCCACCCAGGTCAAGCAGCGCGCACCAGTCCGCATCTCTCCACGTGACGGACTTCTTGCACAACCTGTCTTTCCCCGTTCTCGCAATACGACCGGCCCACTGCCACTTCGATTGCAAGTACGCGTGTTCCCACATCTTGACATTGTGTCGGGCTGCCTCCACTCGTGCGGCCCCTGTGGATCGAACTACACACGCAACCCACTCCTCTTCTGTGCGTCGTCTGACTCCAACGACTCTCCGCAACATGTCGTACTTCACAGATTGCAGCTTCCGTCTCTCTCTCTCTCTCTGTCTGCGTGGGGAGCCTTTTCGCACCACCAAAGAACGCTCCGAGAGACGCAGGCGTCAACGAGACGAAGGCGGTTCTTCAGCAACCCCCTTCTGGGGTTGAGCAACGGCCACACTGAATGAAACTTAGCACACCCTTCTTCGATCCGAGCTGAGATCTCCTTGCTCGTCCAGTCTGACAACGTGAACTGAGTGCCTAACATCTTGAACCCAATTGCAGATGAGACTATAGAGAACATCTGCCCATGCACTGCCAGGCTTGGTCTCTGGTCTCCACTGTTGTGTTCAATGGCGCATTTGCTTGCGTTCAAACGCAGGCCGCGGGCGCCCAGAGCGGCGATTGCATCGTCGAGCATGTCTTGCAATGCCTCGGCAGAATTTGCAGTCAGAGTCGTGTCGCCTGCAAACGTCACATGAATGATGCGGTCGCTCCCGTCCTGACGGGCCCCCACGACTGTGCCACGCGATCTCTGCTCCCAATTCTCTCGCAATTCCCAGAATACCAAACGTGTGGCATTGTTCAAGAGCAAAAACAAATCGGGTCACCCTGCGAGACTCATCTCTTGATTTGGAACACTTTGCTTGAACTGCTTGCATCAACTTGCACGTGGCCTTGCACACTACCATAAAGCCGTTGCAATGTACATGTGATTGCACTATGCACACCGGCCTCTTCGAAGGCATGGAACACTGCAAGGTGTAATACTCTGTCAAGCGCCTTTTCCAGACCTAAAAAAGCCATCCACACTTCTCCCCCCCATTCTTCCGCCTTCTCTACGATGCCGCGGAACGTGTGTACGACCTCCGAACAGCTATATCCAGAGCGGAATCCTGCTTCTTCCGGCAATACTTTGCCTCCAGAATCCCCTTCGTTCTGCCGAACAGCACCGACGAGAAAGCTTTCTACATTACAGGTCTGATGCTAATCGGCTGTTAATTTTCTGGAAGGCTGGCACCGCCCTTTTCGGGAGGGTGAGGAAGAGGAGGACCAGGAGGAGGAGGGGGAAGAGGACGAGGAGGGAAACGAGGAGGAGGGCAGCCCCGTCGCTAATGTTTGCCGAACGCGAAATAGAGGAGGAGGAGGAGGAGGAGGAGGAGGAGGGGGAGGAGGAGGAGGGGGAGGAGGAGGAGGAGGAGGAGGAGGAGGAGGAGGAGGAGGAGGAGGAGGAGGAGGAGGAGGAGGAGGAAGGAGGAGGGGAGGAGGAGGAGGAGGAGGAGGAGGAGGAGGAGGAGGAGGAGGAGGAGGAGGAGGAGGAGGAGGAGGGTAGGAGGAGGAGGAGGAGAGGAGGAGGAGGAGGAGGAGGAGGAGGAGGAGGAGGAGGAGGAAGAAGACCTTCTATGGGTTGTGCAGTGAGGCTGTGCGCGATGGCGCCTCCCAAGGTCGTCAGCGGGCCTCGCTGGGCCCCCAAAGCGCGACAAAAGCGGGCGAAGAACGGGCGAAAGCACCCCAAGAGCGCGGATGAAGGCGTGCCGTGCTGGGCCCCACGCTGGCCCCAAGATGGCCACTACGTGCCCCCCTAAACGGTGCCCCACACGGCTGGGGAACCTCTCCACGGAGGCTCCCAGGAAGGTCGACGTCATCGAAACGCCATGTGGGCGTTGCTGCTATGGTTGGCCTTCTCGCATCGGTGGCCGCCAACGGGCTCATCGAGCTCCGCTGTGGCCCCGAGAAGACCCCAAGAGCGCCCCAAGAGGACTCCAAGAAAGCCCCACGAGAGCCCCAGGAGCTCCTCATGAAAGCCTTCAGAGGGCTCCAAGAGAGCCCCAGGGAAGCGAGCGGTCCAAGAGCGCGGGCCAATCGACGCCAAGCCTCAAACATGTCCAGAGAGGACCCCGCAACACCCCAAGATGGTGCGAAGGTGGCCCCTCGCCGGCCCCAGGGAGCCCACAACAGCCCAATGGAGTCCAAGCGCACCTCAGTATTGCCGAATATGCCCCCCCCGGATACCCACAGGAAGGCCCGTGTCTTCGAACAAGCACGTGCTATCACTGTGTGTGTGTGTGTGTTGCTGGTTGCTGGTTGTGGGCGTCTCACCCTGGCGGGCCCCAAGACTTCGCAGGACGGCCCCAAGAGGGCTCTCGAGGCCGCTGGAGCGACCCAAGAGCGAGGTACAGTAGGTGTCACACTCAAATCCCACCAGCCCTCTGGGCCTCAAACAATGATGGCCCGAGAGGGTCGCGGCAGACCTGCAAAATGACCCCCAGGAGGGCCCCGAAAAACAAATAAACCATTGATGGTTCCTCGCTTTCTACTGCGTATGACTTTCGCTTTCACGGCCTTTCCGGATTCTGGCCGCCCAAGACGGCCCACCAGAGTCCCATTGGGGTGCGAGAGATCCCTAGAACGGGCCCCAGGGAGAAAGGCTCCGGGAGGACTGAGAGGAGGGCGGAGGTTGGAACGCTCCCTCTTCCTTCCTTCACTTCCTCTTCCCATGTCCCTCTTCCTCTTCCTCCCTCCGCATCCTCCTTTTCCTCCTCCTCCTCCATTCCTTCTCCCTACACATTACTTCTCCCCGTCGCACCCCGAGGCTGGTCGAAAGGGCGGGCCGGGCGTTTCGCCTCAGATGTCCTCACCATTTTGGCAATTAAGCTTTAAAACATTGATATTAACTTCACAGATGGAGGGTGGGTCGTTTTCAATCGCTTTAGCGCCGAGCACATTCGTTTTAAACATTTACAAGAGTTTCAAGGATAGTGGGTGGGTGGTTTTCAAACTGTGGCAATCGCCTTAGCGCCGCGCACACTTTCTATAACAGATCAAGGATTTTCACGGGTTGAGGGCGGGTGGTTTTCAAAATGTTGTTCGCGCCTTAGCGCCGCGAGCATTTCTTCTAAACATTTGCAACAGTTTCACGGAGTCACATGGTCTGCGCACCAATTTTGGAAAAGGTTCAGGATTATGAGGGTGCAGCAGTTGGGTTGATTCGCGGTGAAATCCCAATAATGGCGTTCTGACACGATTAAGGATCGTCAAGACACATCAGTCAGGTTGATCCGTGGCCTTGGAGTCCCAAACATAATGGTTTGGCATCCTTCAGGGTCTTCAAAGGGTTGTCATTCCAACGAGGCAGATCCCTATGGAAATTACCCCTTGTAGGGGCCTATGCAGAGGGAGCTTGGAGGAAGGTCTTACGCCAACATCGTTGATGACTCTTGGGTTTACATTGGTCCACCTCCTCCTCCTCCTCCTCCTCGTCTCCTCCTCCTCCTCCTCCTCCTCTTTCTCCTCCTCCTCCTCCTCCTCCTCCTCCTCCTCCTCCTCCTCCTCCTCCTCCCCCTCCCTCTCTCCCGCCCTCCCTCTCTCCCCCCCTCCCCCTCCCTCTCTCCCGCCCTCCCTTCCCCCCCCTTCCCCTCCCTCTCTCCCGCCCTCCCTCCCTCCCTCTCCTCCCTCCCTCCTCGTCATCCCGCTCCTCCCGATTCTTCTCCCATCAGTCCCCATCCGTCCTCCTCCTCCTTCTCTTCCTCCTCCTCCTCCTCCGACGATTACGACGGCAACGACGACAGCTGCGACGGAGTGGACCTCGCCTTGGTTAATGCTCCCAGTGAGGTCCGCGTCAAGCAC